AAAATACACCCCTTACATCAAAACAAGTGTCCGACCGCATCCTTTTGCCGCCCTGGCTATGGTGCTGATTGTCAACCTTTCGATACAACGGGTTTTAAGAGCGTACCAGGTTGATTAACAATGCATACTTCTCACTAAGATGAGCACGCATTGTTCCTGGCGCCCCCCCCCCNATAATATAAATATAATATAAATATAATATAAATATAATATAAATATAATATAAATATAATATAAATATAATATAAATATAATATAAATATAATATAAATATAATATAAATATAATATAAATATAATATAAATATAATATAAATATAATATAAATATAATATAAATATAATATAAATATAATATAAATATAATATAAATATAATATAAATATAATATAAATATAATATAAATATAATATAAATATAATATAAATATAATATAAATATAATATAAATATAATATAAATATAATATAAATATAATATAAATATAATATAAATATAATATAAATATAATATAAATATAATATAAATATAATATAAATATAATATAAATATAATATAAATATAATATAAATATAATATAAATATAATATAAATATAATATAAATATAATATAAATATAATATAAATATAATATAAATATAATATAAATATAATATAAATATAATATAAATATAATATAAATATAATATAAATATAATATAAATATAATATAAATATAATATAAATATAATATAAATATAATATAAATATAATATAAATATAATATAAATATAATATAAATATAATATAAATATAATATAAATATAATATAAATATAATATAAATATTATATAAATATAATATAAATATTATATAAATATAATATAAATATAATATAAATATTATATAAATATAATATAAATATAATATAAACATAATATGAATAAATATATATATGTGCATTCAATATCTGTTACATGTGTGTTTCATGACACATGGGTCAAAATATGAATCAGAAGGAGGCCACGCAGTATTCTCTAATATTTATTTAATATAATAAATTAGCTTAAAAGAAGAAAACTATGAAAAGTTCTACCAAAACTAAAGACTAACAAGCTAAAAGCGTATTTATTTTATAGGAAAATAATGTTTAAAAAAAAATTAATACTTCCGCTTTGATTTTTAAACTGTGGTGTACGATTTACTCAAGCGCCTTCTGGTGTTACCAATTAGTACTAATGCTAGTTATGTATGCGAAACCTCTCTCCTCTCCGCAGTACTTTCTATATAAATTACTTTGTGTGGGGGGGGGAATAGTCACAATATGGGGAGTTATCACACGAGTCCATGCCAACATTCGATCTTGCGTTTTAATTTCACATCGCATATCTTCCAAAATTTCATATTATTATTCTGCACATATCAGGTTGATCCTAAAAAAAATAAATAAATCAACACATCTGATAATAATTTTTTGATAATCAATTTAAAAAAAAACTATTATTAATTGTTTTGATTTTTTTTTTGGATGTGTATTTTGAATGATTCCTTAAATTACTTATTATTCTTTGATAGTAAGAAAAGAATTTGTAAAAAGAAAAGAATTAATTCTTCAAATAACTTTCAAATACAGACATTAGGAAATGGATGCTCCTCCCAACTATTTCCAACAATATTGGACATCACTCGAACGCAGTCGTGAAAGTTCTAAACCAACACCACTACAGAAATATCAGTTCTATATGGAGATGTATGAAAAGAACAGGGAGCCTAGGACCCTGGCAACGGCCAACCGAATGAGGACGATCGCAAGTAAATAGCTGAGCGACACCCCGGCGTTTCAGAAGATGTTTTGGGCGAATACCATAAGGGATAACATCATAACTAAAGCCGGGATATAATAGGGACAACCACACACCGATGGAAGAACTTTGATGGAAGACCTTTGATAGAAGACCTTCGATGAAAGACCTTCGATGGAAGACCTTCGATGAAAGACCTTCGATGGTCGACCTTTGATGGAAGACCTTTGATGGAATACCTTCGATGGAATACCTTCGATGGAAGACCTTTGATGGAAGACCTTTGATGGAATACCTTCGATGGAAGACCTTTGATGGAAGACCTTTGATGGAATACCTTTGATGGAAGACCTTTGATGGAAGACCATTCGATGGACGACCTTTGATGGAAGACCTTCGATGGAAGACCTTCGATGGACGACCTTTGATGGAAGACCTTTGATGGAATACCTTCGATGGACGACCTTTGATGGAAGACCTTTGATGGAAGACCTTTGATGGAAGACCTTCGATGGACGACCTTTGATGGAAGACCTTTGATGGAATACCTTCGATGGAAGATCTTTGATGGAAGACCTTTGATGGAAGACCTTTGACAGAGTTTTATCAGTCGAAAAATTGTTCTAAAGTATTTGTAGAAAAATCTTGTTGTAACCGTACAGTTAGAATGTGTATTTTTTTTTTCAATTTGTTATCAGGCAAGAGAGTATTTTTTTTTTTTTTTTAAATTGTAAATGAGATCAATGATAGGGCACTGGACACTATGAAAATGTCCTCAGTTGAATTGAATAACTTTGAAATAACACACAGTATTTTGTATGGCTCCATATGGAAAAAAAATATAATTCAATAGCAGATTAAAATTTTCAAGTATTTCAATAACCTGATTGTTATGTTGAATTTTTAATAAATACATTGGGTTCAATACAGCGGTTCTGAACCTGTGGGTTGTGACCCCTTTTGGGGGTCGCACGACCCTTTCCCAGGGGTCGTCTAAGATCATCTGAAAACACATATACTCTACAGTTATGAAGTAGCAGCGAAAATAATTTTGTGGCTGGGGGAGGGTCGCTACAACATGAGAAACTGTAATAAAGTGTCGCGGCATTGGGACGGTTGAGAACCACTGGTTTAGTATGAGCCAACCATCTTTCTTTTCTGTGGGGGAAGGGGATGGAAAAAAGGTGGGGTGGGGGGCTGGTGGGGTGGGAATGATAGTTACTCGGAATAAATTTATCAAACGTAGACTTACGTTCAGTTAAAGATAATATGTTCTCCAATGCCATCATTTTAAGACAAAATAAAGTACTTAAAAAAAAAATTAAAAAAAATAAGACAACAGCAAAAAAACAACCCCACTCTCTTTTCCATGGATATACTTTTCACATGGATATACGTTTTCTTGGATATAATTTAACCATGGAAATACTTTGCTATGGATTTACTTTCACATGCATATACTTTTCCATGGATTTACTTTCACATGGATATACTTTTCCATGCACTTTTCTAAGATTCCATTAGCTTTTTTTTTCATTACAGTTTCTTTTGATGACGACGACGTCGACGAGGCGGTTGTGTAGAGAGCTGAATTATGGTGTAAAACCAGCTTAGAATTTTCTTTTAGTTAAAGGTTCATCCCAAGCAGTGGTTCGCAACCTTTCTAATGCCAAGATCCTTTAATCGAGTTCCTCATGTTGTGGTGACCCCCAAACATAAAATTATTTTCTTTGCTACTTCATAAATATGTGTTTTCCCTGTGTAAGGGTCATTCGACTCGCTCAAGGGGTTTGCGACCCAAAGGTTGAGAATCGCTGATCTAAAATTAAACCCTAAAAAAATACATTATTTTTTTTATTTTGAACGGTTAATTTAAAATAGGGATTACTCAACGTCATGTCCTCATTTAGAGAATGCTGACCAGACTTTGGGTAAGCTTACGCCAGGTACTCTTTACAAAAGATCGATCGACTTCCTAGATTGATTTTTTACAATTAAAAGGAATCTTTCAGTTTTTTCCAATACGTCGCCCTTTATTAATTGCAATCGGGAAACTTGAAAGGACCGTGCTATAAATAGGGCGTAATGTAAGTGAGTGTAATCACCAGTGTCAAGTCAGTGTGCAGTCAACCAGGATTCTTGGGGGGTAAGTTGAATTTCGAAACCAAGTCAAATAAGTAGACAGAATGTGAAACAAATAAAGAAAGAAGGAGAGAGAGAGAGAGAGAGAGAGAGAGAGAGAGAGAGAGAGAGAGAGAGAGAGAGAGAGAGAGGGGGAGAGAGAGAGAGAGAGAGAGAGAGAGGGAGAGAGAGAGAGAGAGAGGGGGGGGGGGAGAGAGAGAGAGA